TCATGTCATTGGCAGAAGCAACTGGCAGTTGCCAGCTAATTGTAGTCAAATCCATTATGCAAATGGGCGTGGGTGAGGGGCTTCGAGGCGGATGGGTTCTAGGGGCCTACCCTGGCAGCTCCCTTTTGGCCACCGTTTAAGTGAAGAATAGAGAATAGAGGAGGAGACTACAGATTGCATGCGCCACTTCCCGAAAAGGGAGAGCACTCGGTTGCCATGGCACTGTGCTGCCCGATGGGATGGGTAGCTACCAGGAATTTCCTTTTACCACTCAACACCAACAAGTGCAGCAAAGCAGGTGGAGGATTTGGGGCTCCAGCCCTTTGAGGGGCAGTTCGCTTGTGCAAAGTTTTTCAATCAATTTTTCATATGGAAAGTTTGAAGCACAAGCAGCAGCCGACCAAGTTTCCAAGCCCACGTTGCGTATACTCCACAGGTGAACATATGACAAGAAGCATTACTAAATTAGTATATAATTTGTCTATGAAGGGGAATACGGAATCAATTCAAGGGCATTCAAGACCATTTAAAGGCGGTTCAAAGTTTGCCCTTTTTCATGGGTGTGTGTGTGTATGTTGCACGGCACGGATTGCCTGCAATCGTCTGCCGTTCTTCTCCAGTCGCAGCACGTTCGAATAATGGCCAAAGTTTGGGCCATCGCTATGTTTTTGGCCTAACTGCCTTCGATAAAATGTGTTTATGAGTGCCGCAATCTGGTCCCGCACCGCTGCATTTTATGGCCTGGTATTCAGGGCCAAGTTGCGATTCATATTTAATTGAGCACGCCCAAATAAACAATGGTGGTAATAAAAGCGTGGCCAATTGTAGCTGTCAAAATGGGGCATTAATTTCAAAATTTGAAACTTATCGGCAGGCAGAAAAGCAGGCCTCAAAGGGGTAGGCATATAATTGGGTAAAAGTAAGCCCAGGTAGGCGTCAATTGAGTTAATTAGCAGATTAAAAGGGAACAACCTTTAAATGGCTTCTAATTCAATAAGCAAAAGGGCGGAAATCAAGTTGGGTTGGGTTGCGATACTTACAGATAATGAGGGGCGTCAAAAGATGATTATCCTTAGCGAACCCGTTCAACTTGGCTTGCTCTCTTTTAATTTTAACTAGAAAGTTACTGGGAATTTTCCGCTGAACGCGGTTTGCTAACTTCAAGCCAAATAAAATGTTACAAGTCACGAGTCTTGACCGCAACTAACTTGTCTTTTAGACAGCAATTTCCATGGCTTATCAGCGCTAGTGCAATCTAAAGTAATCTATTTATTTATTTTGCACAACTACTCGGAACTATGAAAAGTTGGCAGCAGGCATTTCTCATCTTTCGCCGAACTCCTGCCACGTTTTCCCTGTTCGTTTGGGCCATAAAGTTTTGTGGCCCATTTCTCATGCTTATTGTTTTAGATTCCCTTTCCTTCTATGCATTTGTGTGAACTTTTCCCTGCGGTGCGCCGTATTTTCTGGCTAATGCAAATTCAACTTTGCTAAAATATGTTTCAAAGAGGAGTTTGTTGCTCACTTTATTGGCCTATATTACAAAATAATTAAAAACTTGCATAAATTATTTAAGAACAAGATAGAATGCTAGAAAGATGTTCCCCGACCATTAGATACCCGTTACTCAGCTAGTGAAAGTGCAAACAGGAAATTTCAACATTTTCTGGAATTTCGGTAGATATTGTGTAATCAAATTTTTAGAGAATTGCGCCAGAAGCATTTAGAGGTATGCCGCTTCAAAATCCGATTAACATAAGTTGAGTAATGGAGTTTAGAACTTCAGCCTTAGGATATTTCTTAATTTTTTTTCATATTGCCAAATGAACACTTTACAATAGAAAATTTTACTTTTCCCTTTTTGAACACTTAAAAAAAAAAAAACACTAATATAAACACTTTACAACAAAAAATTTTCCTTTTTGAACACTTTAAAATAAAAAACAAATATAAACACTTTACAATATAAAAGTTTCCATTACACTTTAAAATAAAAATTCCGACCGCTTTTAGTTTAATTAAACTTATTGAAACTATGCAATTTTACAAAGATAATTTACTTTATAACACATTAGAATGATATTATTTTATATGCATTTCTAGTTTACATACAATTATCTATGTAAAATTGCATAGTTCTCTATTTTCCAGTAGTTTACATGATCAGAGCGAAAGAGAGCAAAAAGAGAGCGTTGGATCGTCGCTTATTCCATTTTCTTCCTTTCCTCTAAGTACGCCGTTACCTGCCAGTTCTTAGCTGCGCATTTCTCAGACGGTTGCTTTTTCGCGTCACGTGTTTCAATAAGTTTAATTAAACTAAAAGCGTTCGGAATTAGTTAAAACTTGTGTTAATACTAAGTAATCTTTATCGCTCTGTTCAATCAATCTCTCTGTTTCGATTTTGAGTAATTAAAGACCCTGCAAGAAGTGAAAAGCCACGTGCTTCGGTGCACACGTGTGTGTGTGTGAGCTTCAGAAAGTGGCAGCTGCCAATTTGATGTTAAAAAAACATCGAAAAGGAGTTATTCTACTTAAAATGAATGCATTGTCGGCTAGTTAGTATGTTAGTAATAACGTGCCAACGCAAAATGCAATATAATATTCGAATTTACGGTTTTTAATTTAGGCATTCAAGCGGGTGACGCGCGTTTTCATGTGTGTGTGTGTCTCGATGCGACAAGTTCGCTGTGTTTTAAATCCGCCGTGCTCCTACTTCGCCGTGCATAAATGCAGGTGTGTTGGCAATGATGCGAAATTCGCCGCAAATAGTGTTTGTTGTTTGCGGCGAATTTTGATATCCAATTTAAATGATTTAATTTAATTCAACGCGTTCTTTTTTTTATGTTCCATTTTTTTTGGGTGGTATTTTCTGTGCATAAATTTATTGAAATTTTTACATCTTGGTGTGTTAAAATAAAGGCAATTCCTCATAATTAGAGTGAAATTTCCCATTGTAAAGTGTTTATTTTTGTTTTTTATTTTAAAGTGTTCAAAAAGTGTAATTATAAAATAAATTAAATAATACTGCAAAATCACATAACATACATGTTTAAATACATTCCTGATTTTAAAGCTGGCAATTTGACGGTCATCACATCACATTTTTAGAGAATTGCTCCAAAAACATTTAGAGGTATGCCACTTCAAATTCCGTTTAAGATAAGTTGAGTTATGGACTTTAGAGCTTCAGCCTTGGGACATTATTTGAATTTCGAATCTCAATTTCTTATATGAATTTAACCTGAACATTCTAGCTTTTGTAGTTCCTGAGATCGAGGCGTTCATACAGACAGACGGACATGGCTAGTTCAACTCGGGTCTTGATCGTGATCAAGAATATAAATACTTTATATAGTCGGAAACGATTCCTTCTGACTGTTACATACTTTTCAAAGAATCTAGTATACCCTTTTACTCTATGAGTAACGGGTATTATTATGTCGCTTGTAATGAAACAACTTTGGTGTGTTCAATTTAATTTTATTATGTTTAGCTTTTGCTTAATTCAAATACCAATCAGTGAGCTTTTCAATTCGATTTAAATCTTTTTAGTTATATAAAAACTTAATTACGCGCTAATAATCCTTTTTGTGGCTCTCGATTCGTTAATTGAGTAGCTTAAATCACACTTATCCGTCAATTTAAATAGGCATAACAAACAACAATTAATCTATTATTTATGCTTACTTTCAGTAAGCAAAGTGGCAACTTTTTAATGTAATTTATTTAATTTAATATAGTTTCTATTAGTTTAGCAGCTAATTTAATCGTTGTTTAAGCAACACATAGTTACATATATCTGGTGTATTCACATGTACTTATTTGTAGTTTGATTTATGTGTTTATTATTAACGAGATTGAAAATATTTGTCGGGGCTCAAGTGCAAATACTTCAATCACCACAATTTATGCGATCGCTGGCCATTTGTCATTCGGCGAGGGGCTTAAGCGATTGCAATTACAATTTTCCCAAGAGTGGAAAAAATGCAAATGTTTATGCAATGTTTCATTGGATTATTCGGTCAGCTGCAGTGACTGCCTTAAATTATTTCCCATAAATTCATCAAACCCATGAATCGGGTGTGAATTCCCAAGTGCGTTTAAGTGCGTTTAACTATAATTTCATTCACAGCCCAAATTCCGATTTCCCATAATATAATCCAGAAAGTATTTCATTCTCCTACGCACCTCACTGCAACTGCCTGTTATTTTTCCAATGGTTGCATCAATATCAGGTCAAAATTTCTAAGACATAATTGCCATTATTAAAGATACGGACATATATGTGTGTATATTTTATGTACAACAACTGGCAAATATTCTGCTCAAATCGTTGACGAAAATTCGTAGTTTTGAGTGAGCACGTGTTTTGCATACTTTATGCGAATGAAATCAACATGAAAACGCATGGGATCAAAGTGGAAAGATGCAAAAGTTTACTATATTTGACTTGATTCATGCCGAAAAGCTGTACAGCTGCGCACAATTGGGTCAAGTGGAGAAAATAAAACATTTTCTAACTGGCAAGTAAGCGAAAGTTGCTGCATTGTGTTAGTTAAATATCAAGATAGATATACGAAACATTTTACAAAACTATATATATTTTTACCACTTATCTATGTTTGTTTTAAGTTTTTTGAAAGCAACCCAATGATACTATTATTTCGACCACAGCTGTAGTTTATCCGAGCTAGTTTATGCACAGCATTTTTACAGCTTCTACTTGACTGTGAATGGGGAATAGAGTGAAGTCAAATGGTGTGTATGAGTGATGAACCAGCGTTTTATTATTATTACTGTACGGGTTTTACGATTTCTCACCAAAGTATGCGCATAACTCGTGTTTATCTGGGCTCTTACACAACTAGTTTATTTTACAAGGATAACTAGGCATATAATATACTATCAGGGTTACTACGTCACAATTCGAGCTTGTTCTGCGGTGCACAGCTGGTTCTCCGTGGCCCCGCTCGCTTTGTCCACCACCACAACGATGGCCTGGAATGCTGGTTCCACCGCATCGTTCCCGGCCAAAGGACCACCGCCTCCTGCCACGCCCCCTCCGCCGGAGGAGCGCCTTCTGCCACGTTTCAGGACACTCAGCAGGCGACTGAGCAAAGTTCGGCGACCACGACTCCTCCTGTGCTACAGATTTGTCACCTGTGTGATGTTGGTGGTCGTGCTGGCCATCACCACCTGCGGCTGCTGTCGTCCCTTTTCGAGGACAGGCGCCACCGCAGAGCGCTCTGCTCGAGCAGCTGCCATCTCGTCCTGCGCCACCGGCAGCCACTTGTCCAGGAATTTCGGACGAAAGAGCAGCGTGAATGTGGTGCGGAACTGCTTGCTCATGGAGCAGTACAGAATGAAATTGATGCTGGAGTTGATCAAGGCCAAAATATCCATTAGGTCACCTGGTGGGTGGGAGGAGGTCAAGACATTGCGTTATTACCTTTTAAGCGAAAGGGGATCCGTTGAATATGGCTTTAATATGGCTTTAATATGGCTTTATTTGGCCCAATCAATTTTAAACGTGATTACTTACTCAGTTTTAGGTAGCACTGCAGATAGAAGACATCTCCGAGAACGGCATTCAGCAGACCCATAATCCCTTGTGGAAATTCAGTGATGAGGAAGAGGAGTAGCACCGCCAGAAGCATCCTCGTGGTGCGATCCGTCTGCTTTTCCTTTTCCAAAGTTTTGCTATTTTTTCTGGGCCTATCCGTGCCTTTTCCATTCGCCGCCGATTTGGTTCCATTACTGGCAGCCGGAGTAGCCGGCTTGCTGGTGAGCTTCTTCCTCCGCTGCTTGGCCTCCAATAAGGCCAGGATTAGTCGCACTGACAGAATGGTGAGTGCTATACAGGGTATCAGTTTAATCACTACACTGTATATGAGAAACGTGGCATTTTGCAGCGAGGCGTTATGCAATGCCAAATCGCTGTGGTACAGCCTATAGACCGTAACATTTCGCACCACTGGCGATGGAGTGGGTGGTGCCGAGGTGGTTGTCGATGTCAGCAACGAGCTCCCATTCAACCACACTGTTTCGTTAGGTGGCGCACTAGTGGGCGTGGCATTCAGGGCAGCCGCCCTGGCACTCAGTATCTCATAACGGTAATCAATTACATACTGGGTCATGGGAATGGAGTTCATCACCTTGCCATTCGCATCCAACTGATCCACATACTCGGTAATAGCCGTGATCAAATACAGCGACGGCGATACCACCAGAACACACACCACATACGCGGTAGTTATCGTTATTATGGTGGTTCTCATGCCGCACCACACGCGATTCTTCTGGGGATAACCCACCGCTATATAGCGCCAAACAGCCAGCGTCACCGTCAGCCAAATGGAGATGGTGTGCAGCACCTGTGCGAAAATGGAGTGGAACTTGATGAAGCACGCCCAGCTGTAGCTGAGCTTCTCCTCCCGCGGCAGGCTGTCCGTTAGTATATAGTCGTGTATGGTGTAGGGTATATATTCCAGCATAACTGCCAGGTCGGCCACGGCCAGACCCGTGAGTATGGCATTCGTGGGGGAGCGCATCTCGCGTCGGGTTAGCACAATGATATTCAAGGTATTCGCGATGGTGCCCAGGATGCAGACCACCAGCGACACATAGCCATGCATGTTTTTGTAGCTAAAAGAGAATGGAGAAAATATGGGATTAGCTGTGAGCTTAACTCTCAAATTTAAAGGACAATATTTCAACGATGTGCTAAACCCAATAAACCATCAAAATTCCGTGTAAAACCAACTAATAGTGCGACATTCTTTCCTACAAGTTCTATTTTTAGACAATTTCCCAACTCTCCACAAAGATATAAGAGCTATAAGACAGTCAAGCACAGAAGTGTAATAAAGACACAAATCGAAATGTTGTGGGTGAGTGGCAGGCATTTCCCAAATTATGTTTCTGTTATTATGCTCTAGTTAGCCTTAACCAATTTGTTACTTCCATGTCTAGGCCGCTTTCCCCTGGCAAAGTAGGCAATAAAACCAACCAACAGCCATTTCCGTTGACTTGCCAAACAGCAGCGTTTGCAGCAGTGAGGCAATAAACTCTCTGGTGCCTAGGGCTTAAGCCAGCCACGCCCACGCCGCCCCTTTCTGGGATAAACATTTTACCAGCTTTTGTTTAGTTTTCGGCGAGCGCTTTGAGGCTAAAAAAGGTGGAGCAGGAAAAGCCCAGGAGCAGGATTCAAATTTCTGGGCAAAGTTTTAGGGAATTTGGCGCAGGAAAAAAGCGAGGCAGCCCTCAACGGTTTCGGTTGGGTTTGGCTTTGGCTTTGGCTTTCGGCATTTCGCCCTGTTTATTTTTTGCCTTTGTGCAAGTTGCAGCCAACAAATTAGACTTAGCATAAAATTTATATAGGAAAGTGCGAGGCGAGACCCACAAACACGACACTTTAACGCCTGCAGGATGCAACTCCTGCGGCTGACTGGTAGGAAAAAATGTCTAATATACTCCGAGCTCTCCAAATAGAGTGACACGTGTGCGTCCTGCTGGTCCTGTCCGTGTCAGGACTTTAGTTAAATTGTTTATTGCTTTCGTGAAAATTCCCCATTCACTCGAAACAAAAAGGGGATTCCTGACCGAACGACAGTTTTATTGGAGAATCTAAGCCAAATTTGTGGGCAACTTTTTAGTCGTGTTACCCACACTGCAGGTGGTCTTATGCAATCCTGGCTGAATTTCCATTCCACTCTACATGGATTTTTGCACGGAAAATGCTTGCCAGTTCATATTAATTTGTTTGCGAACCAAATTTTTCCAAGCCAACTGAATAAACTTTTTGCAACGGCCATGCAATCAGTTGAAGGGGAGGAAAATGTCTCTATTATTTTTGACAGCTAGAGAAGAAAAACTATGTCCAACTTGGCAAAGAACTCTCGACTCTGAACTGATGTCTTTATTGAAAAAAACAGGTATCCCCTAGATTACACAGAGAGAAATTAGTGCATCAAAGGGGTATACTAAAACGTGTCTAAAAGGAAAAGGAGAAATGATTTCATACTTTTATATTTATTTTATACATTTTAGAAATGTTAAAGCTGAAAATCCTAAGCTATTTTAGGTACTTTGATATCGATTTCATTGTGATGTGAATTTTCCAGTATACCAAGGTTTGTTTTGCCTAGTTTTCTCGGTTTTTGGGTTTCATTTCGACAGCTAACTATGCCTGATTTCCGGGCCAATAAATTTTGAGCCAGTACCCTCCACCTGGATGCCATCCCGACCCAAAACAATTCCAGGACTTCATTCATGTCGTCGACGTTGTCGTCGTTGCCGCCATTCATCAACATGGATTATCAAAGGCCATAAATTAGACTCAGGGATGGCTGGGAGTCTGGATTTTTACCAAGGTGCAATCCTGCGACGACGAACCCAAGTCCGTACAACAGGCAAAGTTTTTGTGAGTTTGATGAATGGAGTTGTAAATTCCCCAGGAGCGGGGCGTTGGACAAAACAAGGGTTGTGCCGCCAAAATGTGTCGCCGGCATTCGGAAAGCGTTTCAATTTCGCTGTTTTCGGGACACGTAAACACACCTCACTTCGTTTATATTTCCTGTATCCTGTCCATCAGCATGAGAAGCCTTTACCATCAAATGCCAGCCGACGTGTGCCTATTTGTTTCATTTGTTCGGCGGGTACACGGCCGCAAAAAGCTAACATGCATTGGGAAAATTAAATATTTTCCAAAAGCCATTTTACACATTTTTTGGGTCTTCGGTTTTTAGGGCATTTTAGGGTATTTTAGTGTTTTTTGGTGTTTTTTATTCTTTTGGTTTGCACGTTCTCTTTGGCAACGGAGAGCCTTCTTTGTGCGTTCTTTATTATTTATGTTAATTGCTTGTTTTGTGCGTGTTTTGCTGCGGTTTTTCCTTAGCCTTTAAGGCCTTCTTCGCTTTGCCGCTTATATTGCGTATACGTCACGTTGCCGCCAGGGAAAGGGTTCTCCTTCGATGTGTCAGTGTGTGACACATTGCCGTTTGAATTGTATGCTTTTTTCGGGTGTTCTGGCGCTCTGAGTTCTGAGTTCTGGTGTTCCCTTGCCGCTTGAGTGGCGCCTGGAGACGGCTCCGTGGGAGCTTTTGGGGGTGTCTGTTTCTGTCTGGGGCGTGACAGCGTCAAGTGTCGCCTCCGCTGGCAATTTGGCACGTCTTAGACACAAAAGTAAATGGCCAAGTGTTCTGGCTACACATCTAATTGCCATACAGTCATCTTTCAAAGTCCAGCTTCCACCTTTAATTAAAGCGAATGCGGCATCGCATTCTGGGGTGCTGAACCTGTGGCCGGCACTTTATGGCCATTACCACTGGCGCTGGTCAGACTGGCTTTAATTAAAACTAAAGGTGCTGGTCTGAATGGCGACCCACAGTGGCTGTTTTGCAACCGTAGAGTGAATAATTCGCAGTTCGCACGGAGCACCGCTTCATCATGGCAAATAGATGATTACCAATGATTTACTTGCAGTTTGTATTATGTTCTTAATTTATGGAAGCAAGAGGAGAAAAAACGACGTAATAAACTAGGCATTTGTGTATGGCCCATTAATCAGCTTAGTTTATTGCAAAAATACTTGATTAAAACAACGAAATAATTTAATTGAATATGTGTGGTGCTTTGAAGCCATGGCGAACACAAAAACATGGCAATAAACGTATTGTGTTACCATTATAATTATATATTTTATATTCAATAAAATTTCCTGCAAGATAATCATAGTGCTTAGATATCGATATGATATGATCAGCAGCGTCACTTTAATAGAAGCCTAATCATGGCAAATGCACAACATTGATAGGTTTATTCGCCAATTGGCTTAACTATTTATTATCGCTTATATGTATGAAATTTGAAGAATGGTGACTCGGCGTAAATTACAGCAATTTAATTTCCTACACCGCCATAAAGTTTTTAGGACCGCTTTAATCATCATCTCGGGGTTTTACGACCGTTTGGCATGCAACGAATGTATAAATACTCGCAGCCCGGATTCACTTTTTTATGGGTGCAGCAGATGGCCACTTGGATGGCCCGTAGGATACGGTCAATTAAATTGATTTTAGCCATCAATTGTTGACCTTGCTGTTGACAAATCTGTTTTTTTGTTTTCGTTCTGCTTCGTCGTTTAATCGCCCGAGAAAATTGTATAGCAAATCAAAATTGAAGCTCCCCCAAAATGGGGCGATAATCGATTTCTGAACGATTTCCTTGCCCCCAGCAGCTAATGGCTATGATGTTGCCACTCTTGTCCCCCAGCCGTTGGTTTATGGTATTGTTGTCGCCATGACTGGTGGAAAAGCCTCTTGGCCTTGATCGTGACATTGGTGAAAGTCGCTTACCTTGTGTGAAAATTATCCATGCCGCTGCCGCAGTAGAGCGGCGCAGTTTCATTATTGCCACTGGCCATTGTTGCAACAGCAACAGCAAAAGCAACTGCTGCAAGTCCTTTTTGTGATTGCCGCCCGTCACTCACCGATGTTGCAACTGGATTTGCTGCCAAGGACAGCCGTGCAGAGCCTTCCCAGCAGATGCATTAATAATTTATTATCAACGGGTGGCCCCTGCAAATAAGAATGGACAAAGAGTTAGAGAGGGAAGTTAGAGGCTTCATTGTCGAACCAGACGTATAATTAATGCAAGTTGTAAATTGTTGCGTACATGCCCGTTACCCCATCAACTAATGTGATTAAATATTGCATGGAGCACATTGCTGTTGTTGTTATTGCGGTCGCATGGTGGCTGCCCTAAGCCGATTAGCGAATAGCCAGCAAAATGTATATGTGTGTATATATATAAATATTCTCTCAGCATAGTGTCTGCAAATTGGAGGATTTTCCTTTTATCTACTCCGTGCAACGCCTGCTGAGAAAGCTGCCTTGCAACTTAATTAGCAGCGGGAAAAGTGCACTTGCGGCGAGTATAAATGGAGGAGTTGAGATAAGGACTAGTTTGCTACCCTCAAAAGATATTTATGTGGCAAGTAGCTGACTAGAATTACGATGGCATGCCTTCTGCAAAGGATGCAATGCAAAAAAGGAAATCAAGAAATTATGTTCCATTTTGAATCACAGCAACTTTTGGGCCCCAAAGTTCACGTCTATAAAAACCGAATTCCGGCCCATAAATAATTTAATTTGGCCAACGGCTGGGCTCATCAAGCGAGCTGCTCGAGATCGGGTCAGACCGCAACCGAGTGGGGAATATAAAATATGTGGAGCCATCGTGTGGTCTAAATTAGATTTGTATGGCTGGAGCGTGGCCAGAGATAACTGCCATTTTTCTTTGCTCTCCTTTTGAGGGATTCTTTTTTTGAGTTTGCCTTGTCCGTACAAATTCATTTGGACGTGGGCAATATGTTATCTGTCGCCCCGTTGCTGCCACCGAACTATTGCCGCACATAGTATCTCTGCGTGCCTGCTGCAACAATTTCCTTGCGCAAAGATTTTAATTGCATTTGTTAGGAAGCTGCTGCAGCAACAGCAGCTGCAGCTGGCAGCGGAAAAGCGTTGGGAAAGCGCTGGAAAAGCGTTCGGGGGCGGGACTAGGAAGGGGGAGTGTGGCTGCAATTAACACGTTCCATGAGGCACAGAAACCAAACCGCAAAGCCAGCACACTGTTTAAATATGCATTGAGGGAGATATGCAGCGATACAGTGGAAAGGCGGAAGAAAAGTGGCGGAAATTCACGGAGAACGAGCAGCTAATGTGGAGGAAGCTTAGTAATTTGATTTGCAAATTTCCATTTTGCTTCCAATTTAGTTTTCGGGAGTAGCCTGTAAATGAACCAGCGGCTAACTTATCCTTGCAAATTAAGTTCTCAAGTGGCAAAAATGCAATTTATTTGGCCGCACTGCGTGGCAATTAAATACTGTAGACACATCAAATGGCGGTGAAATTAATTGATTGATGTTTTGCTCCGTTTGAATGATGTAATTGTTGTTCCCATTATTATGACACAAGACAAATGGCCAAGTAATATTAATTAAAATCGTGCCAGGCCATAATTCGATTATATAAATTAATTGCCGCTTGATGAACGCCGTTATGCAAGAATATGCCGCTCGATCCCCATGGTTCTTTTGAAATTCGATACAAACTGCTGCCGCCCAGCAGAAATAATTTTTGTATAATTGCGAATATATAGTGGCTATATAAGGCCGGATGATTGCTCCGTTCATCACGATTGTGGGTGCGGTTGTGTGTGCTCTGTGTGTTGAGTGTGCTGTGGGTTGTGCGTCCCGGTGAGGTGACAAATGAAATGATTAATGAATGACAGCTGCCGGTTGCCCGCAGATGTATGCTATAATTTTTGCAAACAATAGGGAAGAATCATACGCTGTTGCTACGGACAAAGTCTGACAGCTTAACAGATTACATGGGAGCGTAATGAGAGAAAATCTGGATGCTAACTTTTACATTAATTTCTAGGTCCAATCATTTGTATTTCTTACTTTGTTTTGAAGGCGTTGTGTACCTCAATTCTTAGACAGAAATATGGTATTTATCTGTGGAGATTGTTTGAACATACATATTTTTGCTGAGTGTGAGCTCAATTTCGCCCATGAAAAGCTTGCATTTTCATTTTGGACACATGGTCCGTTGGTCAGGACAGCAACAATGAGAGCGTAAATAAGGCCGTCAAGTGGGTGTACGAGTATAGTAAGTTGAAAGCGAACGAGGAATTGAAATCAAAACTGATTTCCGCATGACAAGAGGGATGTACATACATTGGCTCGATAGTCGGTGGTCCAAGGACCTTGGTGCTCGGTCCTCGTCCGATAAACGAGTTATGTCACGCCCATATTGTACGGATTCGTGCCGCCATCTAAATCGCCTCGCCAGACAGGACAGCAAATATGTATGGGGAATACCCGGACAAGACAACACACTTCTATGGATCCCAGCAGCCGGGCAGCTGGCAGGGATGCCGGAAAATGGCCAACATTCGCAGCGAAATGAAATTCAAGCTGCGGGGAAATCTTATTTCTGATTGAAGCCAGCATTGAGCTCTGCTATTTGCCGCTATTCAAACTAATATTTGCTCCTTATTGATTATTGATTGATTGTTTCGCTACGCTGTTTACTTTTCCTTCGCCAGCTGTTTGTTCTTCACTATGTATTTGCATTTTTCTTCTTCACGTAAGCAAACTTGTTATTCGCTGCTTGTTTGCTTTGCTTTCTGCAGTGGCATTATTTAAAATTGTTTTCTAAATGGTTAGCCGAAAAAGAAAGCAGGAAGTGCAAAATATCGGAAGCGGAAATAAGCAAAAGTCATTCCCCGCCACGCCCGCCATGTGAAGATGGACAGCTGGAGTTGCTGCTCGAGTTGATCAAATTTAAGATAAGTGCTTTCGCCAGCCAAGTGGAAGGAATGCTTACCCTCGAACAATTTGGCAAAGTAAACCTTAAAGCTGCTGACCAGGAATTTGATGAGCGAAAACTCTTGGCAGCTTGAGAATCGCAAGAGGAAAACAAAAAGATTAGAATTATACTGTGCCATTAGTGCTCTCAGCCTTTCAGCCCATGCAGTGTGTGTCAAGTGCGTCGAGCAAAGATAATGGAGAAGGTCACACGGTGAAAAATGGGAAATTATAGAAATTCTGTGGCACAAACGAAAGTGAAGAATCATTTAAAATCCGACTTAAAGGTGTCTAAAAGTGAGCTTTATTTCACTCACGTTAATGGGACTTTAAGTTAAACTCGGTTCAGGCATCTACAAAATGATGTGTTTCTTTGAATCTAAGACATACGAGAAAAACACATTTTCCACTGCACAGCTAAGCCGCATGAGAACTTAGCCCCGCTTCTTGAGACTCTTTCCATTTGCACTTTTGCCGGATGTTTAGGGGCATACGGGGATTCCCCGGCGAACTTTGCAACCCAAACCGCTGGAGGGCTGCAGCCGTTTGTCAACACGATGACTTGATGGCGACGCTACTTGGGCTCACATGGACACGAGCTGCCAGTCATGGCAACAGGCTGAGAACACAGAGTGTCTAGCCTAAGGAGTAGAATGGTGGTTGTACATGGGCACACAAGCATAAATACAGCTACAGCCCGCAAATATTTGTGCCAAGATGTCTGACTTCCTTGCAAATATCCTGTCCAAGTTTTGTTTTGCCACTCTCTCTGGTTTGTTTTAGTTCAAGAAAGCTTAGCTGAACAAAAATCCGTTCCTGTCGATGTAATTAGACGACATGCGAATCACTCGCTCGCCGTCGTTTCGGCACGTTACTCATACGCACTGTTGGCCGCGGAAACCGCAACCTTGTGATACACACGATGCGCAGGCATAATTCAAATGTCATCCAGTTGTCATTGTTCGTTTGGCAAATTGCTTGCCGCCTTCGCGAAAAACGTACATGGAATTGCTGGAGTGCTGAAAAATTGGAGTGTATATTTGCCTTATTTCTGCTGTGTCGTCTGTTGACTGGAAATTGTGTTTCAAGCATACGTCATGTAGTCTTGTCTGAGTGAGCGATTCGCCAGAAACAACAATATGAGAGCTTCGTAAGATAGGCGATACTATAGAGATGGGAGAATGGTAAGCCCCGGGCTAATTTTAGCCTCAAAGAGTTTTAAGTATGCAAAGCAGGGAAACTCGCAGACGAAATCAATTGTTCTATAATTGGGATTTAATTTCAAGTAAGCCGATCATGTAGCTGTGGCATGTAAGTTGGCAGCGGTGATATGATAAGCTGACTAGGTAGCTATGCTGTTTACTGTGCATATTATTAAGTTCAATTTTAAGTCAGGTTTGTGTAATTAACTTCATTGTTATGGCCACCCAACTACTCGGGCCAACAAACAGCCGCATTAGCTTATCAATGCAATTACACATGAGTTCATGTTGCACTCCCCCTCAAATGTTTGACAGAAATTCGGGCTTGCTTTCAGTCCGTTGGCCAACATTTTAAGCCCGAACCTCGAAGAGATAACATTGAATCGGATGCATGTTTTGGGCCAAATGAAAACGTGTTGCATGGCAGACCAGCAATTTGTTGCCGAAAACTTTGGCACATGTGCAAATAGTTTCGGGTGGCAGTGCAAGTTGTTTCACTTTGAAACAATGCTGCTCTTAATTGAGTGGCAGAAAGCCAAAACTCATGGTGTTGATGAAGGCCGAAGATGTAGAGAATGGTCCTTTGATTGTCAGCAATTTGGTCGCCCATTGGGTTTGGTAATTGCCTATCCATTTCACGGTTCTGCCAACAAAGTTATTAGGAAAGCAAACACCCATTTCAATAAGCACAAATCAAGCATGAACCACGTGTGCCCCACGGTAAAAATACCTGCCTTGACATTGGTTTGATTCGGTGGTAGTGGCATACAGTTGCGGCCAAAAAAGTAGTGTAGTTATGTAGTTACATCCAGGAAGCGTAATATGTCTAAGGATATACAATCTATAGAAGGACCCTTTAAATGTTCCATCTCTTAACCTAATCTCTCTAGATTCCCCTCATTAACGAGGAAATCATCTATTGATCGGTATGTAAAGCCATGGTGTAAAGGCGTGAGGT